AAAAAAAATGTGAATTTCTAATACACAGTTATCTGTGGGTAGGGCCCTCTTAATGCACTGTCCCTGCAAATCGGGGAGGACAGGAGAGGACTGGGGCGGGTGTCACCACGGTCCTGAGCTGCGGGACCTGGACTGTTCTTTGAACAGGATGACAGTCCTGCGTGCAGGGACGGAGGTACCTGAGGGTAAGGAACCGGGCAACGGGCGCCTGGCTGCGAGGCCCGAGCAGTGCGGGCCTCAGCCCGGCCTCGGGATGACCATGTGGAGGAAGCGTCTAAGCCCCGGCGGCTGTCCTCCGGCCCTCCCCGCGCCCGCCGAACCTCCCCGCTCTCCCCGCCCTCCCGAGGGGCCGGGCCGCACCTGCAGAGCTGCCGGAGACACTCCCACCGCAGGGCGCCGCGCAGCCCCGCACCGCCGCCACCTCCCAACGCCGCTGCGCACTTCCGCTTCCGGTCTCGGGACCGCCGGGAGCGGAAGTGGCCGGGGCTTCGGGACGCCGGGCCTCGGGGCCGGAGGGTCTTCAGGCCGCGGCCGGAAAACGAAACGGTTCTTCATCCAACCTCGGAGGAGAAATTCTAGTTTCCTTCCCTGGGTGGAGAGATTAGTCTGACCGTTACTGGAGGGTGGGGCTGGAGGTGGGACCTATGACCGATGGACGGGGCTAGGGGCGGGGCTTGGGTGCGACGAGCGTTGTGAGGGCGGGGCCTGGTGTGGGGGCGGTGATAGGGGCGGGGCCTCGCTGGCTTGTCAGAGAGAATCAGTATTAAAATTTCCCTCTCCCTCTTCCCCTTCCCCGGTTCCCGCTCCCCCTCTGCCTATCTCCATTGGTTTAATCCAATACGGTACAAAAACCCACACCTAAGATTTTTTTTCGGTCTTTCTAATTTATACTAAAAATAGGAGTGTATATTTTTATTTCTTCTACAGCTTGCCTTTCTCACTATAAATAAAATGTGCAAATCTGTCCAAAACAATACAGAGAAGATCTGAGTCTCCTTTGGAAAAATTACGTACTTGTTATTGTAGTACTGATAATACATACACACAGGAAAAGGTCAAAAGTGGAGGGGGCGTGTCTCACTCCATCCCTAAATTTTCCTCCCTTGCAACAACCACCATAATCAGTCCTAAATTTTCCTCCTCTGAAACAACCACAGTATTCAATTCCCTCGTATTCTTTATATATCAAGCACATCTATTGTTCCTTTCAATAGATACCTA